AGTGAGAGAGAGGTTCTACTCCATAGAGAGAGAGAAGAAAACAGTAATCGGAGTAGTCATACTCATAATGATGAGGAAAATCTGCTCCGGGATGATGATTTCCACTCCTAGGACGATCTCCAAGCTTGATTTGATGAAACCCAGCTCCAAGATGGCTTCTAGGGTGAGTTCTTCGCACTTTCTCTCTCTAGGGCTCTGTTTTTGCTCAAGAAATTCGATTTTCTCTCTTGCAGCCCGGAATTGGGTTAAAACCAGGAAATCCCGACTCACACGGGCAGGGCCACACAGCCGTGTGGCATACCCAGTTGCCCGTGTGAGTCAAAGCGCTGCGTTGCACTTAGTTCGATCTTCAGGCTTCTCACACGGCCAGAGTGGCACGGCCGTGTTTGATTTCCATCTGCCCGTGTCTGCTCTCGGAAAAAGTCACACGGCCAGACCACTTCTGCACACGGCCGTGTGCGTTGTCAGGGCAGGCCGTGTTTGCTCTCGGCAAAACTCGCACGGCCAGAAATATGAGTTGGACGGCCGTGTTATTTGTGGGTGTGCCCGTGTGGCCTCCTTTGTGACTTGCCTCGCGCTCGATCTTCGTCCAATCGACCCCAAACTCTCTCCCGAGCCTCCATTCACGTACTAGGACCTGAAATATCACAAACAAGCACAACCTAGCGTGAAATCGGCCTAAAACGCGAGAAATCACATCTCAAACGGTGTAAGAACAGGGGTAAAAACATGTGTAATTAACGGTCTATCAATTTCCATCCATGTAGTGAATTGGTTGTCTTGGAGTTGTAATATTCAATTCAGAAAGGTCACGGTTTTATGGATTGCTAGATTGCAAAGTTGTCTTTTAGCAACTTTTGGTGAATGCTTTTAATGGTAGAAAATTATTGACCCTAGACTGCGATTAGATTAATATAAATTAGGATTTGTAATAGTAAACATCTTATGTAACGTGCAAGATGACTACGTACTTGGAATTGATAGTCCACCATGGTGGGAAGATGGACTATTCTGAGGAGGTTCCTCGCTACCTAAATGGGAAGATTGAAGAAGTTGACATGGACCAAGACTACATCTCCTACTTCCAGTTACAACATCTTGGGGTCGTCCACTTTGAATATGCTAGGGTCGAGCGCTTGTGGTATATGGCTCCATCGGATAATTTGGGAAATGGTGTGGTTGAAATAAGGTCTAACGCTGAGGTTATGGATGGACTGATTCATGGTGTAGAAAATGGGAAAAATCGTGATCTTTATGGAAAGTATAGAGACTCAAGTTGGAGATAATGAAGATGCTAGTGGAGACTTCAGTGACGATGGTGATACAGAAGGTGATGAGGAGTCACAGAATTGAGACATCATCCACCTTATGGATGATGATGTGCGCACTTCTGATGATGAGTTCGTCGATGCTATGGATAATCAAGGGATTCGGGCACGACATATGAGGGTTCGTACCACTAAAGATCAAACTGGTGAAGCTGTGGAGCAGGAATCTGTTACTGATTATGAGCAGACCGAACAAGATCTTCCCTCACAAGCTATGGGAGGTGAAGATGCAAAGGCTGAAGATATCCCACATGTACAAACAGAACAAGTGGGAAACCAAACTCTACCCGAAGATGAAGATATCCCACATGAAAGGACAGAACAAGTGGGAAACCGGACTCTACCCGAATCAAAATATAGAGGTTCGGTTGAGTCACGACATGTTCGTGGGAATATAGACGAAGACCCATCTGATCCTATTTATGATAGTCCCCACTACGACCCCAGATGTGAACATTCAACCCTAAAGTTCATGGTGGAATGAGCTTCAATTCCCCGGAGCAGTTCAAAGAGGCAGTGGAGGAACACTCCATCGCAATTGGAGCCGATATCAAGTGGACGAGAAGTGACAAGAATAAGAAGCAAGGTGAATGTCGCCAGAAGTGTGGGTGGTATATCTATGGTAGTTGGCATGCTCATTCTTTGTTTATGGTGAAGAATCTTGGGAAGGATCACACTTGTCCTAGGGCTGTCCGGATGCGGGTTGCAAATGCAACTTGGGTGACTAAGAAGTACATTGAACGTTTTCAAAGGAGCCTGATTGGAAGGTAAAGAATATGATGTTGGAGCTGAGGCAAACGCATAATGTGGTCATTTCGAGGAGGCAATGCTATAGGGAGAGGACATATGCCAAACGGATGTTAGGAGGGTCGTTGATAGAGGAGTATAACAAGATTAGGAGGTATGTTGGCGCTTTGAAAGAGCGGGATAGAGATGGTACTTTTATTCTCGAGGTTGACCCGTCTAATGTGCCCAATCGAGTATTGTTCCAGAGGTTGTACATTGGTTTTAGTGGGCTGCGAAGGGGTTTCATTAGGGGCTGTCGACCAATGTTTGCTTTGGATGGGTGCTTTCTTAAAGGTGAGGTTAAAGGGATGCTTTTGAGTGCTGTTGGTAAAAATGGGGACAACATGATGTTCCCTATTGCTTGGGCTGTAGTGGAAGGGGAAAGTAGTGAAACATGGAATTGGTTTGTTTCTATTTTACAGCAAGATCTTAGGACCATTGATGGTCGTGGGTGGACAGTCATATCTTACCAACACAAGGTAACTGTTAGACTTGTTTTGTATGAATGTTACTTGTGTTTTAGTGTTTGTAGTGGGTGAAATGTCAGATTGCATGAGACTTGACTACATTATGTTCTTGTTTGTAGGGACTTGTGCAAGCACTAAACAGTTGCTTACCTGAGGCATCGCTAAGAAAGTGTGCACGTCATGTTTTCGCGAACTGGAAGGTTAACCATAGGGTGAAGGCACATAGAGACTTGTACTGGGAGGGAGTGTGTGCAACAAACGTACACGACTACAAAGCAGTCATCAAAGTCATGGGGGAGATTAAACAAAGTGGGGCAGATCCATCTCTACTTCAAGATTTGCTGGATCATCAACCAGAAATCTTTTGCAGGGCTTTTATGAGTCACGACTCCAGATGTGATTCAGTGGAAAGTAATATTTGCGAGACCTTCAAGGGTTATATCTTAAAGGAGAGGGAGGATAGGATCATTGACATGCTCGAGGGTATCCGTAGGAAGCTCATGGTGAGAATTGTTGAAAAGAATGTGCAAGCTGTTGGTTGGAGGGATCGCATCTGTCCTAGGATAGAGAAGAGGATTAGAAAAGGTGTGGATTTAGATGTGTCAAGTGAGTCCAGGCTTGGGCATGAAGTTTGAAGTTGCTATTAATCGGAAGGGGTACGTGTTGGACTTGGACGAAGAGACATGCAGTTGTGGTTCAATGGGGATTGACTGGAATTCCATGTGTACATGAAATTGCTTGCCTACAATGGAAGAGGATAGAGCCAAGTGATGTTGTGTCTCCTTATTACACTGTTGGTGACACGCCAAAACACAACACCAATCTGCGACCAAGTGTAATCGCAGACCGGGAATGCAGTAACAGGCAAGTTATATTATCAACCCGGGGTCTAGATCTACTGCTTACTCAGTGATTCTCTGTTATCTAGCCAACTAAAGTAAGTGGTTGTTGTTTAAAAGCAAAAGCAGAAAGAAAGCAGGAAATTATTCGGTTTTCTCAAGCAGGTAAGAGTCACTCGGGAATGAGTCCCCCTAGCTCCTTAGTTAGGTTTCAATTGTATTTCCCTGGGTTGATTTACTGTTGATTAGACTGCGGAAGATCCGACAGTAGCTTGGAATCTCTTAAGCTGACCAAGCCCTCTCAGTCTAACTACCCGGCAGACGACTAGTCTTCACCGGGATAGAAAGCTGAAGCAGTAAGAACAGAACTCCACTACTGGAATTGGATTCCAGTACAAAGCAGTAAACTGGCTAACTCTCGTATAGCCAATCTCCTACTATCGAATGATGAGACTCTAGCAACCTAATCAGATTCTATCTATCTCAGATTGCAGCAGAAATCAGGAAAAGTTGACCAGACTTCAATTGACTCAATAAACATGCATCATTCGATTAAAATCAAACAGTAATCTCATCCCAAGTCATTACAATCAATCCGTAACACATAGAACTAGGGTTCTTCATCCCCAAGTGAGAGAGGGGTTCTACTCCATAGAGAGAGAGAGAGGAAAACAGTAATCGGAGTAGTCATACTCATAAAGATGAGGAAAATCTGCTCCGGGATGATGATTTCCACTCCTAGGACGATCTCCAAGCTCGATTCGATGAAACCCAGCTCCAAAACAGCTTCTAGGATGTGTTCTTCGTACTTTCTCTCTCTAGGGCTCTGTTTTTCCTCAAAAAGTCCGATTCTCCCCCCTTCTGGCTCGAAATTGGCTGAAAAACCAAGATTTCCCGACTCGCACGGGCAGGCCACACGGCCGTGTGGCTCACCCAGTTGCCCGTGCGAGTCAAAACGCTGCGTTCCAATTAGTTCGAACTTAGGCTTCCCACACGGCCAAGGTCGCACGGCCGTGCGGGGTCTCCATCCTGTCCGTGCATGCTCTCGACAAAAACCACACGGCCACAATTGTGAGTTGCACGGCCGTGTGGTTTCCAGGAATGCCCGTGCAGCTTCCTTAGCACCTCGCCACGCGTCCGATTCTCGTACAATCGACCCCAAACTCGCTCCCAAGCCTCCATTCACGTACTAGGACCTGAAATATGACAAACAAGCACAACCTAGCGTGAAATCGGCCTAAAACACGAGAATCAACACCTCAAACGGTGTAAGAACAGGGGTAAAAACATGTGTAATTAACGGTCTATCAGTTGGGTCATACAAGATGGCATACGAATTTGGTATTCCTACCATTGAAGGCCAGCAAGCTTGGCCAGAATCCGTGGGCTATCCAGTTCATCCTCCTAAATTCAAAGTCTTACCTGGACGTCCAAAGAAGCAACGGAGGAAAACACCATGGGAGATCGAGACAGTTCGACATGGCGATGATGGATCTGCTATGAGGAAGAGAAGGTATGTAATGCATTGTAAGAAGTGCAATGCTCCTGACCACAATGTGCGGACTTGTCCGGTTCTTCGGGCAGAACGGGTAAGTTTAGAATCTATGCATATTGTAACCATCGTTTTATATCAAATAGTAACCATCGTATGGATAAATGTGCAGAATTTGGAAGGAGGAGAAGGAAGCAGGAACGTTGAAGCTCCAAGGGGGTGCTACTGGTGGAGGAGGGAGGTCTGATCAAAGGAGGCAAGAGAGGGATGGAGGAGCTACTGGTGGTGGAAGGAGGGATGTTCGAAGGAGGCAAGAGAGGGATGGAGGAGCTGCTGCTGGTGGAGGGAGGGATGTTCGAAGGAGGCATGGGAGGGATGGAGGGGCTGCTGCAAATGAGGAAGGTCAACCGTCAGCAGTGAAAAGAAGACCATGATTATGTTCCAAATGTAGGAAAGCTGACCACAATGCCAGAACCTGCCCTCTAGTAGGTGGAATTCAGGTAAGAGGACCATAGCAAATTAGCTTTCATGTTAGAATTGGATTTAGATAACACGTAAATGAACTTTTCAGCATGGTCGTTGAATGCTCCTTTCTTTGTTTATGGTAGGAAGCACATATCAATCGTGCTGTCACTAGTAGACGTGCTCAAGATAGAGAAATTAGGATGGTAAGTTTTCAATGCTCATTAAACTCGACAACTTAACAATGTTTGCTGTACAATAACTCATTTCAATTATTTGCAGGCCAACCAAGGAATTGGTGTGTTGCACACTGATTTAGGAAACACTTATGTGATACTAAATGGTCCAGATAGACCGGGAAGGGTGTTGAGAGGTGGCAGGCCTTACGACAACCTTGGTACCGGATCAACGCCTACGATGATTGCTGAAGGAGGATCACAGCCACCAGCGACACAGCCGACCCAACATCAGTAGGAAAGTGGTTGTAAATGGGTGGTATTATCAGATGTAGGTTTAACGTAGTAGACAATGTTTATTTTGGGCAAATATGGCTGCCTTATATCCTAAGGAAATCATGTCAGATTCCCAAACATTGGATTCAGTTTGGAAAACTAGACAATGGCAGCCTTTGTTTCTGACCAACACAATTATGAATGTGAATGGTTCAGACTATGATATTGATCATCTATGTCGAACAATTTTAGGATGTTTGAATGTTATGTTTGTAAGATGAAGCTATCGTTGTTTACTTACTGTCAGAATCTTATCATATAGCCAAGGGAATTCCTGAACGTCAGATTCAATAACATACAACCAACATGATTGTTTGACAAAATTGTAAATAAACTCGAACCATAAGTTACAAAAGAGATGTGCATTTGTAGACTTCCTTTCAGTCCTGCAATGGCAATGCCTACAAGCAGTCCTACGAAAAGGAACAAAACAAACAAGAAACGAGCATTGGCCAACTTCAGTTATCCTACCAGCCTAGTGTTTTCCTCCCTAATGCTAACTAAATCATCAAACAAACATTTTTTAGCCTGCTTCCTTCGCTCAGCTTTCTCTTCAGCAAGTTTCAAGCTCTCCTTCAAGCTCGTAACATGAATCTCCATCGAAGCATACTTCGTCCTAATGTCTTCGTCATCTGCCACAATCACATTAGAGCTAGGTGTTTCCTCCTCATCATTATGTTGATCGACCCAACGCTAAAATAGACAATTTTTTTAGGCTCCTGACAAATAAATCAAGATCAAGTGAGTTGTTCTTTGCAAATAAAATCCCCCAACTGAACAAATAATGCTTAAATTACCTTCCCATATGGGCAACAGAAGAATCCCCTCCCCGGATTGAGTTCTGTCCCTGAAACATAAGACTTTGCTGGTATATTATGGCCACACTTCACGATTCGAGAGTTGGAAGAATTGGAGTCACAATTTCTATGGCCGAATCTCCTTCCCGACATGTTTGAATTGCTGCCACGAAACCCATTCATTATGGAGAATGAGAACCAAGTAGATCAAACCCTAAAACATACCCAACATATATACTCACCGAGTTTGCTCTACAATTTTTCCCCCGAAGCAGGCCGTTGCACCACTATCCTCACCGCAGTAAATACCAAACTCACCACGAACCGGCGTCGCTCCGCGTTACTAAAACCCAACGTCGTCACCACTCCGACGCGTCGGAGCTATCGTCGCCTCTCCTCTGCCCTCTCCTCGCGCCGACCCAGCTCTCGCAAAGAAAAAGTTTGAAAAATAGGGGACGAGCTACAAAGAAGATGGAGAGGGTTAAAAGGTAGGGGTTTTATTTTAAATCAGAATGGTAAAAAAATTACAAATCTGACGTGTTTGCCTATGTGTCGTCTATGTGGCCAACACGAGTGTGCCACGCAATCTTCGGAAGATGACCTAACGGCCGTCTGTCTGGTGAACCGTTACTTTTAACGGTCAACGAAACTGTCAGGATACAAATGACACAAAACTACCAAACGTTGGGACATAATTGTCATATCGAATACTTTAGGACACAAATGACACAAAGTTAATAGTTGGGGTTTCCCAGTGGTATTAGCCCTTTGCAAATCTAACGAACTCTTTTTTCTCCTAGTGTTGTGACACACGCGATGCATTTGAAGAACACATTAGATATCAAAGAGTTATACTTAGAGGAGCTTGACAAGGAGCCTATTCCCTGTGACCCTATTCCATTAGTAGGCAGTGAACAACACACCCAACCCCTCAGCAAGGATATCATCATTTGTATCTAGTACCATCGCACAACAAAGATTTATAGAACTGTCGATAAATTCAATTATTAGAGACTGGAAAAAAGATTAAGGAGAAACAAATTAAAAGTACAAAGAATGCTTAACAAGTTGAATTTGGCGGTGGCAATCTCATATAGAAATACGTTTTCATTGTTGGGGAATGTGCCAGCATCAGCACCAAGTTTTATTTATGCATCACGAGCCCTATACGCATCAATATATGCCACCACCACTTTGTGAAAATTGAACTACATACAGTAAAAGCATGATTACTGATTAGGAAGTTTAAGTGCGAACAAAAGATGTGAAAGTATAGTGGAGTTATAGTACACGGAGACTTAATTGAATTGTTTGACTTGTATTGAAGGTTTTAATATATATATATATATATAGGCAAACATACATGGGAATGTATTAATTACAAAATATGAAAATATAGAGTATATCATCATATTGTATATTTGTGATAGAGTGTGGGTGTGATGAAGGCACAGCCAGCAGCTGCTATTTGAGTTATCATGCGTAGGTCATATTTCAACTAACAAGTGGGAAGAAATAAACACTACACCCGAAGAGCTTCCTCTATAAGAGGAGTGAGGAGACCGTGTGGTTGATTCGCCTTCTTGAGGCGCTCAAGAAACGCAGACACCCTGCTCGTTGTAGTCATCTTGAGAACCTATTTGAAAACACGAGGACAACATGTCACTCAGAGAGAGTTGCTGAAAAGAAGAAGGAGCAAACCACATAAACATCATGGAGTGGAACCCTTATTAAGGGTGGCAAATGAATCTACCTTCACATCTATATGGATTTCGGGTTTTGGATGAGAGAAGAGGAATGTCGCAAAGAAAGAAGCAACAGGCTACGAGTGAGCTAGGGATGAATTAGCATAACAATTAATATTTTCGTAGTAATGGTGATTACTATTTCCTAGTAATCATCGTAATCCCTCCTGGGATGAGTTAGCGTGACAACTAATATTTTAGTAGTCACTATGACTACCAAACTCTATACTGTCTATTTTTCTTGTTTTTTTTTTAATTGACGTTTAAAATCGCACTAAGGATAGATTGAAGAAAAAAATTTACTACATATGATTATTACTCTTTAAAGCCTAACTTATCCCCATCCCTTTCTTTCCTAGCCGCCTCCGTCTCCCTGGAGACTACCTCTTTCCATCTCTTCCCAGCACCTCCTTCCCTCTCTCCTCGGCGACCCTCTCCCTCCCACTCTTTCCGGAGCTGCCACCCTCTCTCAAATTAATGATATTAGTTCTTTGAATTGACAAATGAAAAATTAAGATTTCCAACCGTCCAAATAGTTTAAAGTTTTGAGAACTCGAACCTGAATATGAAAATAGTATATTACATATCAAATTCAAGCAAATTAGTTATGAGTTCCAATCAATTACCTCAATTATTATTGTTAATTCAGGCGGGTCTCTTGATTGATTTCTTACTTTAGACGTGATTAATGTTAATGAAATAATATTTTCTTCAATAAGGATGATATATGTTTGCTTTCAATTATAAGGTATTACTTGAGGGATTTGAGAATGTTGATATTTATAGTTTATTCTTTATAATGGGAAAGATCATCCAAACAAACAGAACTATCATGAAAAATTCAATGAAAGTACATAATAATTTATATGTATATCTTTATTTGCATAATAATTTTATATATCTTACAATTTAATGTATATCTTTATTACCCAAATGAATGAAGAATAAAGGTTGGTTAAAGGTTAGAAATGTGCAAACACCGTTGTTGAAGTTGAAGATATGAATGATAAATTAGAGGATTTTTTATTATCCAAGGAAAGTCTCAAAGGTCATGGTGCAACAACACAACTACAAAAATGATTCCGACGACACGCGATAGTCCGTATGCAACCACACTAGTTAACGATTAAATAGAAATGTACTCTGAATATATGTTAAGCTATATGTTAAGCTCTAAATATACTCTGAATGGGTATATTTGATTAATGCATTAGAATTCTTAACTAATAATTGAGTCATTTAGCAAGAGCAAAGTACTTGGACAATGATGAATAAAAATAACTTAGGCTTTTGTCAAGTAGTTAAATTATTATTTTTTATTTATATTATGATAGGAGTAAAAATTATAAGAAATTACTTATCCTGTTATATATGTTTATATATTATATGAGATTTAAAATTTTCAAAAATCAACAAAAATTAAGGATATTAGTTTTTTGAATGGACAAATGAAAAATTAAGGTTTCCAACCGTGCAAATAGTTTAAATTTTTGAGAACTTGAACGTGAATATAAAAATAGTAGAGTACATTTCATATTTACTTTGATTTGATGTTGTTGATGGCATATCAATCGCAAAAAGTCCAAAAATCTGCAGCGGTTTCTAACAACAAGTAGTAAATTTAAGTACGGTTTTGCAAAATGTTTTAGAAGTCGATCTCTTGCAAAGATTTTATAAACTACTTTCCCTACGAACTTTTATCAATGAATTAGTTAGGATGTCGAAAAACTCTTACGATGTAGTTTTATTTATTTTTGAAATTATTAAAAAATCAGGATTATTTTTTTATAATATAAAAACAAAAATGTATCTAACTTTATACACTTGAGATTGTTGTTTATTTACAAACGAAAAAGTGTATCCGGCCAACGGGCAGGTCCAAATCTAATAGTTTCTTTTTTTGTAAATTACTTATGGAGTGATTGCATTATAATTCCTGTTTCGATCTTTATTTTCATATCTTTTAGTTAAGTTATAAACAAATTCTCATATTTCCTAGGTGGTATAAAAGTGTAGAATTTTCTCTAAAAAATGTTCGGCATTTTTCGAGTCACCACATAA